AGGAATGGATGAAAAGTGGCCTTCAAGGAACCACGAATGCCAGGAAAATGCTGCAGATTTCTTTACATTAAGCAGCCTGTTTGGTACCACTCCTCCCCGCTACCCTGCGAATGGCTTGGTCCCTATTATGTGATGTTAGCTGCACAAGAGAGCGCCAGGCCTACCTGAAAAAGGGTCTCCCAGGAAGAGTTTAAAACATCCTGTTTCTGGGGAACTATCGGACCGTAGTTTCTCTTCTTTACTCCAGGGAAGAACGCAGCAGCTCTGTCCCAGCTGCCCTGCAGCCTTACGAGTAGCGGGAGAAGTTGGGTCCAAACCTTGTGTCTTCCCTTCCGGTGCGTTTGCGCTTCACACGCCCCACGGGCCTCACAAAGGACAAACAAGGGGCTCGGATAAGTGGGCTCCACGGCCAGCACGGGGCCTTCCTTCCGCTTTACGTCCCTGAAGGAGCGAGGCACAAACCAACTCCAAACCACTATAAAAATCCCCCTTCCTACCCCTGAACACAAGGTAAACATCTTTCAACTGTTTATTTTTCTTCCAGATAACTTTAAAGTAGCTAAACAAATTACCGGGAGAGGACCCACACAGACGGACCTTAGGTGCCTCTTCTGATGATATGGTCATAGATAACAACATGCAGGTAGAGATCCGTTTCAACAGGCGTCCGTGTTGTGTTGTCTCCTGGGCAGGCCTGAAACACAGAATATTACAGATACCCAGTCAGCGGAGAGAAAAGACATGGCTTTTAACGTCAGGAATTTTCTTCTTCTTCCCTCGGAACGTCAGGTTTGATAAACGCAACTAGCTCTGAGGGTGGGGATTTCTCAGTGAAGATTAACGTCCTGGCACCGGGCAGCTCATTTCTCCTGCAAGGCTTTTAGCAGATGCAAAGGCAGCGATAAGAGTTTTTAGCTAAGTACAACTAGGAACAAGCGGACCATCGACTGGTCAAAGAGAAGGCCCGCTCGCAAAGATCAGGCAGCTGGCGTTACGTCTGTTTGAGCTGAACCCCGTGAGAGAGACCTGGCACTGATTTCGGTTTGGCCCACAGCATGCGCTTCTCAAGAGCTCGTTCTCCATCAGTGAGCGTTACAGAAAAGCCAAGGCCAGATGGATCTCACGGGGACTCACAGGCCTGTGCCCTGCAACCCGTGGGGAGACACGACGTACACGCACAAATGCTTCTTCGTGTGGCTGCTGGCTCGCGTAGGCACTCGAGAGCTGGTTATTGGTTACAGATGTTCTGCAGCTGCAGGAAGTTGGATTGGTGGCCCGCTTTCAGTGCAACCAAACACATCTTTAGGTACGCATTTTTGAGTTTCTAACAAACCAATGCACTTATTTTGAAATGCATATAATTTGATATTTTGTACTGTTACTATTCATATGCGACCATCTTTCATGGGCAGGACATCAAAGAAACCATCATCCTCGATCAGTTCTGTAGAAACCCAAACAAATTATTGCCCAGCTTAGTTCATGTTGGTTTTGAGAGTAACCAAAGCCTGGGCGTGTTTGTCACATCCAATCTATAGTCCAAGGACTTCAGCTGTGAAGTTTAAAAAAGTGCGGTTGGCACCAGAGGAACACAGCCGGTTTCTTACGGGGGGAAGCTCTCTGTAATGTTACTGCCCGTTCAGCCCTCAACAGGAAAGAGAAAACACCCACGGCAAGTTAATCCGCTTTTGACTTTAGCTGAAAATGGGATGTCCGGGTACGACTCGAGTCTTTGCTTTGTCTGGATTCAAATGCTATGCAAATAAATGGTAGAGACCAACCACGTTCAGCAATAACAGCATCAGAGCCATTTTTAGATGAGAGCCAAGCATACCTTTGTGCCATCAGTCACACATGAGAGAGACAGAGTCCACAATGTTCGCCCAGTTTACAGCACTACCGAGGCACAAGTATTTTCCTTTCTTTTATTCAGTTGTAAACCCTTCTGAGCCATTTACCGTGCGCTGGAGAAACACAGCCCTCCAGAAGATGACGCAGCCAGGGTCAAACTTCTCTTTTGGGAGGGACGGGGTTTAAAATTCAACAGCCTGACCCTTACGCCAGCAACAGTCTCGATCCGCTGCAAGAACTGAACGACTTAACGAGGCCGCTTTCCTTAGGACTTCTCAAAACTTTTGTACTGAGGAGGAAAAAGGCGGCTCGCGTGCGGTTGGGAAAGGAATTCTGGCAGTTTCAATTCAGCACCACAAAAGTGCTGGGGTAGAAGATGGCCCATGCTTCAGATCCAGGAACCGATTCTGCTTTCTGGGTTTGCTGATGTTCAGCCTGCCCTGCCAGGATTTGGGCTATTACAGTGCCTGCAAGTTGCAGCTTTTCTTTCAAAGCAGCCTACTATTGATTTAGTTAGTTAGTTAGTTATTTTTATCCACCTGCAGGCACACTTCATAATAGAGACTTGATTTTTACGAGAAGATGAATACAGGGACCACCAGCCCCGGGACGCGTCGCCAACATTTTCGCAGTTTTTCCTTTTTGCGACAGGCGTGTGTGTCACCCTCTGAGCAAAACACTGCGTCTCTCCACACCAGGTGTACCTGCTGATACACTGCCCTGCTTCAGTCCTCACATCTCCCAATCCCTCCCGCTTCCCTCCTCAGCCTGCACCCTCTCCCGCGCTTCCCTGTCCTTAGCGCTTCTCGGTAATTCAATTAACGGGACGCAGCCTCAGCCTGCAGCCTACCCTGGCGGTAATGGCAGCAGTTCTGGCTGGAAGGAAGAAGGCTGGAAAAGGGGCAGGGTAGAAGAGAAACCCAGCTTTGGAAATCAGTTTTATCTGTCCGATTTTTGCTGTCCCAAGGGAAAGGCCTGGGCGCCCTCAGTCATAAACAAGGGAGGCCAAGTTTATCCTGACAGGGACCAGAGCGGCTGTGTTACCGAGGGGGACAGCATGTCCGAGTAAGCCTGAGTTAGTAGGTGTGTATTGATAAAGACACTATTTGCAATTGGGCTCAACAGTTTAGCAAACTCCATTGCATAAAGGAAATTTAGAATATTTAAAAAAAAAAAAAAAAAAGACATTTACCTTAGGATCCACATTTATTATTTTCCTATCACTTTTGTTCTCAAAGAGTAGTCCGCAGGCATTGTCTGCAATCACTTGGTAATTTGGGCTGGAATTTGACGTGCTGACATTTCTATCCCAGTTGTAAAAGCTGTGGAAACGTGAAACAGAAATGCTGTACTTGGAACGGATGTCATTCTGCCAGCCGAAAGGGCAGATTCTGACCTCCTTTTTCAAGCTGAGTAGTCCCTGATCCCACAACAACCCCTCTGAAGGCCAGACGGATTCACCGAGGAGCACAACTCTACTCAGTATTAGAGAACCTGTCCAAATGTGGCCCTAGGTATCTGCTCTCTGGCAAACCAAACCCGAGGCCCCTACCCGCCTCCTCGTCCATTCAGTACTGACTGGCGTTACTAAAGGACTCGGAGCCCGGGTTATAACGAGCGGGAAGTGGTAGCGCTCGAGAACGACTACCGTGACGGAAACAGCTCTGGAGACCACCTGAAAGTGCTTCCCGGACCACCACGGATCTGCAAACCAGATGTGGGAACCGACCGTTTCCCCTCAGGATCTCACTGGAACTGTCTTGCTGCCTTTACTGTTTTCCTTTCTCTTGTTTTTAATAGAATTCTGGTAGTAAGGAGTTTTTAGAAGTCTCCTTGTGGGCCAGACACAGCGGGAGGGGCTCAACTCCAGCTCCCCGAGGAAAATCCCGGCTCCCCGAGAGCTGTACGTGTCAGCCTGGGATTAATTCTGGAGGAAACGGTTCGATCGGGCTGACTGGGCTCACTAGTTTCCATAATGTCTTTCACTAAACGAAGTCAAAAGGAATCAGCCTGCCGTGTCGAGTACAAAACGGGCACAGGAGGGCTTCAGCAGTTCATCAGTCTTTCTCCCAGGTCAGGGGTGCTGGAATTCCCTCAGCCTGCTCACACTTTCGGTTTTGGACGTCTCAAACTTCTCATCACCTGACCCCAGCCCTTTTGGGCTCTGTGCTTGCCGCACGGCCAGCTAGCAGGCTGCCATCTGCACGCTTGTTGTGAGCGTTTGTTAGAAACCTCTGCAGCTCAGACGCGCCTACAAATCGCGCACGGCGACGGCACTGCCACGCGTACCTTGCCGGGATGCTCATTTGGTCACTGAAGCGGCACGCCGCATTTCTGCTACTGCTGATCCACGAGCCTATCTTTTGCAAAAGATGGAGGAGATGGGAGGAAGTCAGGGAATCATTCTGTGTGCAAGGAGGATTCAAGAAATGTCGAAAATACCTTTTAACTTTCCCGCCTTCTGCAAGGATACGCCATTCCCACTAGATACACGGTTCCGGCCTTTCAAGTGCCTCGATATCTTCCCCGCTTTGAAAGAGCGCAAAACATTAGGCCTCACTGTTAACATAAACCGAACCTTCTCACACCCTGAGCACCGTCGGTAGGCATGGGGCGTGGTACAACGCCCTTACAGAACTCACCCCGGCATCACCCAGGTCAGTGGGCGATTTGCCACTCAAGTCGAGAGCCTTGGTTTACGGCCAGATAACGTAAGACGGCGCTCAGCACAAAGCTACGTCCCCGGGCAAGCGAGCCGGCGCAGGCAGAAGCTGCCTCCTGGAACTAACGCTTAGGTGCCTGCAGAAAATGAGTGAAAGGTGGGTGAATGAATGAATGAAATTCATTCGGCTTCGTAGTAATAACTGCTTTGCTTTGATACGCTAATCGGTCACATTCATTTGTCGTCTCTAGAATTATTTAATGCTCCCGAGTACCCACGTTAAGTTGTAAACAGAGGATTTTTTCATTCACTGTTTAAATCTAAGAATAAGAACATGCACAAACTTACATACAAATTCAATACGCAGATTCTTTTATCTCTCTACTCATTTACCTTATTTCATCCACACAGCTTTTCCGCGTCCCCCAGGACACAACTTGGTTAACAACTCCAATGCACAAACAGAGATCGTTTCTGCTGGAAAACCACTACCAGCTCAGGAAGGAATTACTCTACGTTATCTCGGGGGGGTGTGTGCTGGTGGTAAGGGATATATATGTGTCTCTGCAAAGACGTCCCCACATACGTTAAAAAGAAATTAAACATCCGAAGGTGGAAACAGTCAGTTAGCTGTCGGCTGATAACCTCCTGCATTTTGCCAAGTTTCCAACCCCACTCCTACCATGCTTCTCCATTCAAGCCAGCGAAGACAAGACGGGAGCTCAGACAGCCTTCCTGCTGGGAAATCAATGTCTACTGCAAACAGTTTTGTTATGGACTCTGTCACTCCACGACAAATTAGTTTCCATCGTGTGTTTAGATGTGAGGCACAAACCCCGAGCCCACCGGCAAAATGAAGTCAATCTCTTTGAACCCTGTGCTGAGGGCTCGGGGAACGGGGCAGTGCCCCGTCCGACTCTCCGCCTGCCTTTCCCACGTAAAGGCTCCGAGCTTCGTGGCATTGCATTCCCACGTTCTCTAAAACTAAGACCAGCAGACAGCGAGAGGGTGGCCGCTTTGAGGAAGCCTAGGATGGCTGGCCACAGAAGGCAATTTCCCCTGCATACCTTTATTTGTGGTCTTCGCTCAAAACTGACGAGATCGCATCAGCCAAGCCAGCCTCGCAGGCACCTGCAGCGGGTCGGGTGAGCAGGGCTGCTGCAGCAAGAGGATGGTCTTACCGGGGGGACGAAGTAATACAGGCGAGCAGGAAACACTCCTCATGCTGCCTAGAGAGGCAGGAGGTCAGAAGAACGTTTCTGACCAGCGAAGCAAGGGGTTGGAGAAGGTGTCTCGGGAGCAGCCTCTCCCCTGCCGGTTACTGTTAAGGTGAAACTTGCTCACCGTAATCAACGCATTTTACCACGAGGCTGCTGCAAGAAATCAGGATCGAGGGAATCGGGCTGGAAATCAGGACCTAGGGAATCCCATCTCATCAGTGTTTCTTTCTCCAGAATAAACACTAAACAACACTTCAGCAGTGCTATTTAGGAGTTACGATAATCCCCATCTAATCAAACCCATTTTTGTTAGCAGAATTCCATGTGGCTTTAAATATTTAAATTATCCTGACATGAACACATGCTATCAGATGAACATGACCAAATGCCAAAGAAAAATACTTCAGTGTGCATTTTTTCTATTATTATTTTGTTCGATTACCATGGGTTTGGGAACAAATGTAACAGTTCTCAGCGCGGCATTTCATTATGTGGAGTGTGAGAGACTTAGCAGTGCCCACAGTCCAGCTGCAAGAAGAATTCATCTTGGTTGTTTTGTTTAAATTTTGTTGTTTGTTTGTTTCTTTTTTTGGCTTTTGGGGTTTTTTTAAAGACAATGACTTGTTGATGCAGTGGTACATAACAAGTAGCACCCTGTGTTTGGGAATACAGACTGAAATGGGGTCCCTTCCAACCCAAAACATTCTATGATTCTATGATTCTATGAAATATGCGAGGAGGGGTTTTTTCATTCATCAGCCAGTTCTGGTCTGAGCAGTTTCATTCTGCAGGCAGGCAGATGCCCTTCCAGAACACAGAAGTCTCAATACAGCTTTCTGTACCCTTAAAGGTACCCTTCAGGTACCAAGATGGCAGCACATCAAACCACATGGTGCTTACAGAACGTCTTTCATCCAAAAATCTCCGGGTCCTTTTGTAAACGTGCATTAAACCACTCAATATTCTTGTGAGATGTACGGCCGGCTTTATCACAGCTCATCAGTGGCTGCGGGAGCCAGGGCACAAAAACTTGGAGGTTTTTCCCTAGGATATGTGGGCCGGTGGCAGAGCAGCAGAGCCCCAGTCGCCAGCTCCAGCCAGGGGATGGGGCTCTTCGGTTGCAGTCCTGCGGCCGCTCACACTCAGGGAGCTGGACGACCGTTTTCCTAGAGGCAAAGCCTGGGCAAGGTTACAAACCAGATTTTGATGCCTCAGCGTGCGATTGTCCCCCTTTTTCCCTTAGTGGGAAATGGAGCTGCGATGGAAGAACCTACACAGCTTACTCCAGGGGTCGAAATGCCGTGGGGCGTCAGGCCCGGACAGACCAGAGAGCACTTTTGCCAATCGCCATCCGACCGAAAAGAAAAGGAGGCGCGCGTCTGCGGGGTAAGAGCTTTGTTGTCCCAACGTACTATTTACTGTTTAAATCAGCAGAATCGGGGAGACAGAACATAGCGTAAAGGTGTTTATGTCTGTGTTGGCCCCACCTTTGATCCCATGGGGCTAGATTATCCTACCCTGTTCTTTCTTCCCCTCAGGATAAGGATTGGTTCCTTGATTCAGTTCTCTACTTCTCTCTTCCCACCCACACATACACAAAGATAAAACCATTCCCTGTAGCAGACTGGGACTTCAGTCAAAAACTAATTACAAACAATGATGGCTCAACAGCTTTTTTCAGTTTGTGGTTCTACGCATTTGCGATGCAAACTATCTGGCTTCAGACCCCCTCCGGGTGATTTACAGACCAGCCGGCTCTAGCTGGGCAGCAGCAGAAGGGTGCAGACAGGGGAGCCAGGGGGAAGCGGGACCACAAAGGAGACTAGAGCCGGGAATAAAAAGCAGCAGCGGCTCCTTTACCCCGGCGCTCTCTTTCTTTCTGCCCTCCGGTAGGAACGCACTGGTAATCACTCTAACGGGGGAAACCGGCATTCTGCGTGCGCCGGCCAAATATGACAAAAGTAGCAACACACTTGGATGGGATCTGTCCCGTCAGCCCTTCCACAGCCTTCTGGTGCAAACGAGGTCAAGGTCTCGGTGGGACGTGATACGACGTAATGCAGCTCATACGCCCGACTCCATGCCAACCGCTGCTTCACGGTCAGATGCACGTCACGGACCTTCGGTTAAACGAGAGCAAGCTACGTTTTCCACCTAAGAAATTTAAAGATGCCGAGTTTCGCTTTTCTTTTTTACCTTGAAGCAGCTTTGGCTGAAATAATTGTATTTATCAAATCATTGCCAGGGTAGGGTGAGATACATCACAGTACTTGGGAAAACCAAGGCAGTTGGATGTGTCCACAGCTACTGCGCGCAGCGGCTATTTTGGTGATTTTTTCCTGCTTACCTGTGTTGTACTGTCACTACTGCATTAAAGCCCTGTAGCATTTAGCTCGACTCACGTGGCTGATGATCTTGCAAACCGGTTATACATCAGGAG